GTCTCAGTGACTAAGATATTTTTTGAAAATCGATCCAGACACGAGGCTGAAAATAAATGCAAATAAAATGGAATTCAACCATGAAAAAGTGTAACAAAAATTTTCTGTTCTTGAAGTTTTAGACGTAAAACGTATTTAAGTTTTTTTCCCGTCTTATCCACATTCCCGAAATTCATCCACCCACTCTCTGTCACTCTCACGGAATTCCCTTGCGGCCAGACTACGGATAAACTTTCTGGCGCAGAACCCTACTTAAAAATGACTCTAGTTTAAAAAGCATTGCCTGATAAAGCCCACGTAATTTTTCAGTCGCACCATCACTCGATAGGGGGATGATAGAGGGAGCCGCCACGTGTGACCAGAACGAGCAGCTGTACTATGACTTAGAGAAGGCAGACATCTAGCACCCCATTTGTCCTAAAAACCCAACTCATTTGTAAGAAGGGTTGGAGACGTGTCCGCGAGATAAAAATAAGAGTGGGTGAAAGTGCTCGTCATTAATTCCCACGGAGTTCAATCTATCTCACTCCTCCTGTCCCACCCATATACTTGATGCCATTTCGAAATAAAAAAAAAATATTACAAAATTATATCCATTTGTCACGCGCTTAAAAATATAAATTCAAGAAATTCATTGGTTCTGACTCAAAACTTGCACCACCCACGCCTACGAGTTTAGGATACACACAGAGAAAAATCTCGAAACTCACACCTTTCCTCACGTTGCTCGTAATTTTTTCCCCCTATTGCACAATGCCGCTGCATGGGGTCCAAGGTGTCCTGGCACAATAGCAAAAGTATATCCCATGGAGAAAAAGATTCTTACGAATGGCACAGGATCCATTCCCTAGATTCACGCTTCACTTAGTTCGAGCCCTTAGCTACGACATTTGTCGTACAACTTACTGGAATATTGTTACATAACAAGCCTCGTATTCGAATGGGCGAAAATGCTGCTGCAGCTACTGGTCAGCGATTCTTGCATTGTGGTAGACAACAAAAAATGGTCTATTCTAAAGAATTTTCACTTAGTGGTCCAAAATTTTGATGTACAAAATTTCTTCAAAATATCAGACAAATTTATTCATTCGTCTGATAGATCTAATTAAGCTTTTATTTATGGCTTATGTTGCCTTCGCGCTTGACGCGTTATGAGTTTGCAAGGGGTTGAATTTACGACCGCGACTATCGTTAGGAATTTTATTGAAATCTGTTACGGACTGGATGCTGCGTGACTAATATCAAATTTAGATGATAATTCCTGCGGTTGGTCGACGAAAATATGGAGATTCCAGGATCATCAGCATAAAAACTATGCACGTGGGTATTTCGATGTCAGATATTTTTTGTGAGAAGTGTCAACATGCTAATTATGAAAAACTGTTAACCGCATTTTTGAAAAGTTTGAAAATCCCACCGAAACACGTGGAAGCGATCATTATATAAAATCGAGCAATTGCGAAAACAACAAGACACACCGGAAGCTGTCCATGAGTTGGATAAGTCGCGTAGGTATAATTGACTCTCGATGTCATCAATCATTGGCTGCCGAACGTCACATACTCGAAGTGCCAGGACAACTGAATAAATATATACTGACGCACGGACCAGATGAAAGCAGAGCAGACCCAGAAGTCCCCTTTTATCATTAGTAACCAAGTTCGGATATCTTAGCTTCCGATGAATTTACCACAAGAGATCCCAACTCCAGTTGGATATGGTATAGCGTAAGACTGTTTTTACGAAACGCCTAAAGAAACAACTGCGCGTTTACATTCCGGGGCGATTAATCAGTCGCGACCGGTTGCGGTAAATTAGCTGTAGAAAAATCGTCCTATTTGTTTTACAAGTTTTTACTATACGCTGCTTACATGACTGCCAGTAAGTCATTTTGAGATCCTGTGAGACAGGAGTATACATAGATACACAGTGCTTATCTTGTACGCAGCAATGAAATATATCTGGCGTGCGTTACGTGATCGATCAATCGATAATACGTTATGTAAATATATATACGATCTAATGTTATACACTTTAGTAACAAACGTAATAAATTTCGGTACCAAGAGGTTTTGTGAAATTTGATCATATTTTTTATCGCCTCGTATGACAGTACAGGTAGAGCAACATATGAGGACCATGCACACGTGGTCTCCGTGGGAGCAATCGTTTTCGCTTAATTATCATAAATAATGAAAAAAAAAGATCTGTCTGATTTACGGGGATGCTTTGGCGAAACGAGATGAAATATTGGCGCATGACCGAGGTCAAAGGTTAAAATAAACTGGTCTTTTACAACTCTTTGCATCTCTTTACCGTGCAACCTATTAATCTACGAAAAACCTGTTTGTGATTTATGCTTTATAAAATTTCAATATTTATTCATTAAATCTGTAGATCTTACATCGTAATCATGCTGACAAGACAGTGATTGAAATTTACGCAAATCCTCTGAAAATTATGAATTTCACTCTTAGCTTCTTATTTCTCATTTCAATTTTATCAGCATCATTTTTTTTATTCCAATCGATTATCTTCCAGGCGCCCTTGCCAAATGCTCCTTTAGGATATAGACTCTACCATTATATTGAAGATGAAGCTGAAGCTTCAGGTGAGACGCACGCGAGCATCTCCGGCAGTAACTTTGAAATTTGATTAGGCCCAGCCAAAATGGAGACTACCCCAAGGCTACCACGTAATAGGTTCCCAACCCTTGAATCCGTATGGATAGGTGTGTACGATATCTATAGGTATACACATATGTGTATATGTTAAGTCAGAAGTCAGCGCATCGTAAATAAAACGAAATTGTTGACCGGGACGTTCAGCTGTTAAGCGTTAAACAAAGGCTCCGGGATGTCGGGCGCCATATCTTTGATCTCTGTTTGCCAAGGCATGCATCACCCCCCAGCCAAGATAATCAAGAATAATTATTTGTTAGATAAATACGATCGCATCGCGCGATAATCTGCGAAATTTATGATGGACCACTGCCTTATAAATGACGCGCTACGTGCACTCACCAATATACGAAGAGGATCGGTTAGAGATTTCTTTTTCTTTCTTTTTTTTCATTCGCTTATACTTACTACTCTTTATATATATATATATGTATACATGGCTTACGTAACGATCGATACGGATCTCGATCTTTGGATACTGGTAGATCTCTTCGACCTCATGGTCCATTTAGTCTCGTGTTGATCGAGCACCTTGAATTTGGAATTTTGAAAGGATCGTTTTACCTGAAAATGGAGAAAAAATAAAAAATATTAAACAAACGTATAAAGTGGTTGTATTACTTTTGATATTCCGAAAAAGAAAACAGGGGAAAGTTCAATTTATATGTTTGAAGATATGTACTTTTTTTCTTTATTTTTAAACACAATTACTATGTATTTTGAAATCGTCGAAATTCATCTAGAAGAGACTATTTTGACCATGAAGAAGAGTCAGCGCGCCATGTCGTACATCAACGTCCTAGCAGTGGGCGGACGTGATGTCAGCCGCTGACGCCCCGCGAAATTGAATCTAAAGTTTAAGTCTGTTTTCTCCTGCCATGCACTTTTGCTCCAGGGAGGTCGCAAATCATCACCTCGGAACGTTTACTACGTTAGATGGCCGAAGATTACAGCTGTATATGATTTTACAGTGCAGAGAATGTACAGTTGGCACCTAAGGTATAACATGAAAATTCTTTGTTATATAGTCGCTGCATAATAAAATACCAAGAAAAGTCTCATTTCGTTCACAGCAGGACGTGGACGCATTTAGTCAGCATATTAAATAAGATATATATAAAATGGAAGAGCCCTTTGAAAATTCCATTATCCGTGGAAAGACTGTTAAAGCCGGATTTCCAAAGAAAACAGGTTTGTCGGTGATTTTCAAAGTCGCGACACTTTTTTTTTTCTTAACGAGAACGCAATTTGATAGCTTGAAAAACGAATTGACTGAAAATACAGTGTATAATATCTTGCGGTAAACTTTTTTTTCCTTATGTTCATGTCGAAGACTCCTACGTAGAAGAAAATTCTTGACATCCTCGACTTACGAGCAGAACCGCTTTTGAGACTTTACGTCTTTCTATGGGTCTTCATATTTTTTAAATCTTTTTTTTCTCTTCCTTCCTTAAGCCCACCACCCCGTGATCCCTTCTGGGTCCAGGGACTCTTTTTTACATCTTCGACGAAATCCCCGTGAGGCTTTGTACGCGTTTATTACATTTGGCGGTGAGATGATGTCATTAGATATACTTAGGTGGGACTTTATTGTCGTCTTTGTGCTGGACCAACAGCTCCCGTGAAGTAATTCCATGCCGCGTTCACGATTCATCAGTTATCGCACTGAAATACGCGGGGCCCTTTATTGCTTGGGGCCTTAGCTGAGACCCCTTTATTGCCCTTATTGCCCAGCACAAGGGGCCAGTCAGCTTTTCCTGTAAGACGCCTGGACTCTTACGGTCTCACCACCTTCGATGTACGCAGATACCTACTTTTTTTATGGTAATGAATATTCAAGAGGAGAGGAGTCCTCCTTCCTTACATCTCGTGAGAGGACTTTACAAGACATCGAAGGACTCAGGATGCTGGATTAGCTCCAGGCACAAAACTTCGAAAGTCTGTATGATTAATGATTCGTAAGCCATTTCGAAAATTGCCGAATAAATAAAAAAAGATAGGATCGTTTTAAATATTTTTATGCTTTAGACTCGTCGAGGAGTAAAAAATAATAATACAACTTTTTAATCATTAAATAAATCACTTAATCATTAAGGGCATATAAATTGTTTAGTATAAAACGAAAAAAAAAAAATGAGTTATAAGGGGATCGAACCAGCGACCTTAATGCTGTTAGTACGATGCTCGGATTTTTCTTTTCTAACATTTTTTATTAAACCGGATACCACCAGAGACCACTATATGTATACTGTAAAAGAGTATGATATACTGTATATGATTGTTTATTAAATAAAGAATCGATGATATATAGACCCTTTCTTGTTCTTTTCCAATCTTATCAAAATTATAGAATAATTTTTCCTACTAAATTATATTAACTCTAGAAACATGCCTGCGGAATTGCCAGTTGACATGCTAAACGCCTCCTTGAAGGAGATCGTCGTGAGAAGAAAGAATCATCAGCTTTTCAAGAAACTCGCTCAACAAACTCATCTCAATTACAGAGAAGTGGAAGGTTATAACATTCGCATTGCACCCTATAGCAATTACGAATGCTGTGTCATAAAATATGAGTTTTATTAATGACCTGTTCAAAATGATAAAGCATCCGCGATCTTTTCTATATTAATGAATACCTGAAACGATTTCATACGAAATACAATCTTTTGCAGCACTGGCCCTTATACATGATAAAATCGTAAGAGTGATGGGACCAGTACAAAGGTTAGTTTTTCGTGACGTTTTACATTCCGGATTCGACCATACAGAAAACATTCGTCATTTGCTAGTCGATCGAATATTCGCAGCAATGGATAAGCAAAATATACTTCAGGTAATTAAAAACTTAATACATAATTAATTAACACTATACCACTTGTGTCTAATTTTTAGATTTTCATGGACCAATGGAACGAAGGAATGTCTATAATTTTACGTGGAACTCTAAACGAAAGAATAAATTTCGGTTACAGGGTATTCCCTATAAAATATTCAAATTTCCCACTCTTTTACTATATATATCACTCATTCCATTCTTAGGTATACGATCTAATGAAAAATAATAGAATCCGAAAGGAACAAATCTTTCCAATAATGAGAGGCTGTCTGATAAAACAACAACCAGACGAAGATCCCGACGAGGGTGTCAAAGTGAGTGAAAAAAATAATCTGACAACTCAAATAATAAATTTCGTACTAATACAAAGTAATGTTGAATCAGGACCTCATTGAATTGATGTTAAAAAAACTGGATGTTGATCGCGATGGGAAAGTATCTTTCGAAGATTACAGTACGGCTGTTAAAGATAGAAATGCATTGTTCCTAGAATGTATTGGTCCTATATTCCCGTCACGAGATGCACGTAATGCATTTCTAACATCGTTTACAGACAGAACGGGTCGATTTTGATTTTTCTTTTTCAAACAAATTTTTTCTTTCGATGCCACCATAAAGTCCGAGAATACCGTCCATCGTGAGCAACGTTGTTGGCGCAAGCCTCCTCGCGACGGTAGGCTTATTATCGTATTTACGACGAGGTGAACGAGTCTTCTCTAGTTGAGGACTGTTGAGGTTGAGGACTGGTTATCCCTCAGACAAGTATACGAGTATACTTCTATATCTACTATGTATTCCTACGTGCATATATATGTATATAAGAGTGTATACGATTCTCGCGCCAGTGAACAGGCAAACGCGTGAAATCAGACAGAAAATATCCGCCTAGACGATCGCGTGACGCTTCACTAAATTTTCGAGGCTGTCGATCCTTTTGCGACTCATCCAACGGTGAAAAGACTCGTTCACTTTGTCAACAATTGCAAATGGACCGCGTGTAAATACCATTAATCGCATCAAGGAATAAATCGATCTAGAAGGACCGTCGCGAAGATATTCATTGTACGTTCTTATTATTATCATAATACGCGGATAGATAAACGATGCACTTTAAATCTGTGAATAATATTACATAAATTTCAATGTAAAAAAATTCACTTTATATGCCGTAATAAAATTATTCAAAATCACTACTGACGTCAACATTCCGCTATTTATGGCTGAAGTGACCTGTATTGATCCTGTATGACTGCCATTTTGTATTTTAATAAGAATAACATATATTGCAAGACTCTTACAATTCTGTGGCAGTGTATGTATATTATATTTTTGTATGGTCCAGAGACATGTGCAATTTATAAAAAAATATGAAACATCCTATAAGTAGGACGAACGTGTTACAAAAATATAATGAATCTTTCAGGACAGTTTAGTCGTGAATAAAGTCCTATTGGCTTTTCATTCTACAAGCAGCTATAATAACAAATTAAATCTAGAAATCTTTAAAGTCCCTTTCGCTTTGATCGTCGACAATTCGGTAAACGTTAAGGCGTTTCAATGGCAACGGAGGCTTCTTCTTTACAGTCCTTTCGGCGAGTGGAATGATATTGTGTAAAGAGTATAATGACGTACGTACGAAAGGTCCTCGGTCCTTTGTGGCTAGCCGAGCGTGTCCTGAAAGGATCTTCCCGTTTTGAAATGCGGTTCAGCGATCGCAGGGCGCCAGCTGAGAAAACACCCCTTCGGCATATACACAGTAAATACATTTACAGGTACGTATAGACTAGACCTTCACTTGAAAACAGATGATATATTATTAAAGAGTTTTGTTAATTGAAAAACACGGTATATCATAAAGACACAGGGAATATAGTAATAAATTATAAATCAAATTCTACGGTAACACGAATCGAATTCACAGTCGACAGGTTTACGTCAAAAGCAAAGAATACAACGTGGCATTAAGCGATTCGATTTGTACGTTCTACACGCCCACGCATCAAAGACGCCGCTCCTTGCATGGTCCTCAAAAGGATTACGAAAAATATGCGTTTCGTGTCTCTGATACGACTTGGTAATCTTCAATAATTTGTGAAATGTTCTATCGTGATTGTTATATGAAAACAAAATTTGCATTTTTATCTTATTTTTTTTTTTTTTTCATTAGGATTCTGGTTGTAGCTTACACATATACGTTTTAAAATGGCGCTCATAAATATCTTTGCAACACTATTTCCCATCCGATGCCTCTTGCACAATGTCTCGCGTGAGGAATGTTTAATGAAGCATACAGATGTGCTCCTAGGGTACCATGTGCTGCCCAGTTAGGATACTAGAGCAGCATGACGTACCCCTTCGAACACGACACCGGCTTGTCCGAACAGCGGGATCGGTTCTGACACGAGAACCGAACAAATGGATTCGGGAAGACGATTCTCTAATGAATTCCATGATTTATTGTATTTCCTTAAGGGACGCCTGTTACGTTTTACTCCGAATGAACGGACTTGATTTCACATTTGGTCTACTGCTCGGGGTAAACGCGAGGTCTTTTCTAGGGAACCAGTGAACACAGATGGACGTGGACAGTTAGGTTGGAAGATTTAACCCAAATTAGAAGGCTGTCGTATTAATAATTGAAAGTCAAGAATTAAATTAAATAAAAAAATGTTTGACAACCATTTAACAGTACTTACGTTACATTGTCAGCCACGTGCCTAGCCAGACTTCCAAGAGTCGAATAAACGGAGTTTGTCTTCTGAAGATGGAGACGCGACATGACGGACGGCCACATTAAGTCAACCAGTGTCGTCTAGCTGTTTGTTTTCTGGGTCGGATTCAATTTGGTCCCCGACATCTTGTAAATCGAGGAATATAATTGGACGGCTGAACTTTTCAACATGACGTTTGACGTGATATACCTGTGTAAAAATGCATTGTGCGTACTGGCTCGTACATGCAAGTGTTCACGAATGCAGTGACTATCATTTGGTTCAGGGATAGAAAAATTGTCTACCAATCGTGTGATATGGATAAAAATATTTAATACCACATGATATATTATTGTGAGAAATACGATATAACGTTACTGACCATACGTACGAGGATTTTTGGTTTACGCAATAAAGTATCTCAGGGTGTCGCGTTCGTCATGGTCACGCGAGGCCGAGTTTTCAAAACAGGATTAGCCTGAGGATTACGCTGAAGTATCACTGCTGCACCCTTGGAAACCCGGCGAAATGTGCAGCGTCCATTTCTCAACCGATGTCTTCGACTCCTGCCATTCTTTATCTTCTGCTTTTTTTTTTTTCATACAGACAATTTTTTGTCCTGATACTTTTTGCCATGCGGCGAGGATTATCCACATCCGGTCATTTCTGTTTAATTTTTACCTATTTTCCTTCCTTTTTTTTCTCTCCTACAGTTCTGCCTCTTCTCTTCTTTCGTCTGCAGACATTCGGGAAGCCATTCAGACGTATCGAGTGGTTTATTGATGTATCGCGGAGGCGTCCATTCATGTATTATACGCCGTGGCTCTCTCAATGGCTCCTTCCATTCTTCGAATCATCCACCAAGAATATTCTCGTCCTTCAAAGCCATAATTGTCCTGAGAGAATTTTTTTATGCTTCCTGCTTGCCCCGTGTATTTTTTTTTCAAAAATTTCCCATTTTCAATTCTGTTACACGTCAGAGGGAATGATGCTCTTCTGAGAAGATATTCGTTTGCCGAAGATTTTTCCTCTCCCAAATACAACTTAACGCCTGTGGCATATTTTCATTATCGTGACGGGATACCCCGTTAGAGTGACAGGTTTTTTAAGTCCCAGGTCAAAAGTCATATATGATATGTAAAGTATGGTGGATTAGCATAATGAAGAAGGTTGGTAAAAAACATTTTGACTAGAACGAAGGGATGAGGTCCATTTACTTCTTCTCATATTTTAGGCAACTCTACTGTTTTAAAGCTCGATTTGACACGAGCCACGTTTTCAGGATTAAGTTCTAATCTGACCCATCTACACGTTGAGGAAAGCTTGAAAAAAAATTGTATTTAAAAATTCCAAATTTTTCACGTCCCCTAGACAGCATTCGACGAGCTTAGTAAATCGATGCAGTAGACTTTGTGCATCTGGTGAATTTAACATAATAGGATACTATTGGTAAAAAATGCATACAAACGTATGTATGCACGTGGAACATAAAGATACCGTGTATAAGGGCGTTGGGGTTAAGGGTGTAACATTTTATCGTTACGTGTATGCAGATATTACTAGCCAAAGTAATAATTTCAGATCTATTCAAGATACTTGCAGCAAACCCAAGCGAATGTTTTTTTATTTATAAAAAAAAAAACAGATACAACTTTTTCTAGCAAAAGATATAAATTACCATTGAATTTTCATATTAACCAAGAAACTTCAGTATCATTCGACTATCCACGAAATACATATATTCAAGTATGCATTACATATGCACACGACCGTAAGATTAAACGGGTTTGAAATCTCCTCGTAATGTAGGATTATGAAAATGAATTCTATGTAATAATCATTTAAAGAAGAGATTTTTGAAAAAGTTCAATTAAATCGCGCAAACCTAACTCGTCGACTTACCAATTATCGTCGTTGAACATATGCTCGCATGAATATACCTTTTGAATATATCGCAGAACATCGTCAAGTCGTTCCAGATACATTTTAAATGTAAACGCGTGTTTTCTCCTTGGACATTTCAATCTTCCGTGGGACAGAATGCCTGCAGTAATTTTATTCTTTACGTGCAGATAATCGTAACTGGACAAGGCATACCGACTGCATATACGTTAAATGAATACGGGTAATTATTTCAGTGGGAGTATATAGTAGCCACCATCGCTCCTTTGATATTTTATTGCACCAAGTGCATATAGCGGCCGTCTGTATTTCTTCTGAATGCAATAATATGCACGTCTTCGGGTGCATAAAATGCAGCAATATGGCAAGTTTATTTATCAACCTGACGTTGGCCATACTTCACTTTAAATACCATAAGTATGGTGGAATTCCTGCTGCGCGTATTATTCACGAAAACGACGTGCACTCGGTGGCTCTAGGAAAATTGCATTTCTCGCGTGTACGTTAATTGCTTAGCCTCTGCGAAGATCATGCGAAATATCATTTGCCTATATCTGTATATCCTTACCTGACTACGTTCGTACCGGATATCACTTATATCACGGCAACCGGTCACGATTCGCCGAACTTTCTCTGGATTCATGGACAATGCATGCATACGCCACGGCAAGGAGGCGGACGGCTGTCGGAAAGTATGCGAATATTTTGCGTAACCACCTTAGCAGCCTAATTGGCTGTAGAGGACAGCTGCGCGGATGCAACATCAAATTTCAATCAGCGCGACACAATCGGAGGAAAGTGTAATTTTTCACTGTAACGACTTATGTCCAGTTGCTTTGGGTTTCTTTCATTTTTTTTTTCTTTATCCTTTTATTCTGCTTTTGCCGGACTGTGCTTGGAACTACCCTTTCTTGCCTAATGGTCACACCCCCTTGGATCTTTTCACCCATGGAAGATCCTAATAGTCCCCTTTTGCATTTGCATGTGAATCGTTATTTTTTTTAACTTACTGATCCTTCCGGTTACAAAGATTTGGAAAAAATATGCGGTATAATTATGTGAAATATTTTGTAATTTTTTGTTGTGGTTTTTATAAAATCGGCATAATTATTATCTAGAGAAATTTTGTCAAGGACGAGGATAATTTTTAAAAATCAATTTTTCAAGGATTGCCAGATGGAGGATCTCTGTAAGAGATCAGTCGTTAGCGCGTTATTATTCGAACGTCGTCACGCTCTTTGAAAATTCAAATTTTCGATATTTCTCAAAAACATGTCAGCCGCCCACGTTAACAATGGACGAACTGTCATTCGCAAATATTCATCTTCGTCCATTGTAAGAGACATTGACATTTCCTCGGGAGAATACATAGAGCCCGTGAAAAATCGTCTCACTGAAAATACTATAAGAATCTTATGAACCGAGCATAAACCTTGCCTAGTATTTTCCACTTAGTGATTTTCATATTTTCAAAATATTTTCAGTGTCGGTCCTACGTATCGAATCGCAGGTATAAACGAATCGTTAGAATCCTTTTAAATATT